GAGAGAGAAGAGGCAGTTGCTCTATATATCGGTTGTTAAGCTTAACGCGGGAATGCTTTACAAACATTCAGAGATGAACTTACACACTTGCTTTACTTCTCTCTGGGATAACTTCCTCGGAGATGAAATGTTTGCTAGCAGGCTACAAATACACACAGCCGCTCTATCACGTGACCACACTGCTCCTAGGAGCTACGTTATGAGCCGAGTTACGCCGTGTTGCAAGTTTTGTGAGGTGCTTTTTTGATATTTAATGGATCGGATTACATTTTTTATTTCTCTCCGATATCCGATCCAGTAATTTAGGTCAGTATCGGACCGATACCGATACGTAATATCGGATCGGTCCATCTCTAGAAAATACATCCACTTTTATACACAGTCCAGTGTTTTCAGGGGCTCAAAAGCAACTGGATAAAATAAGGTCATTTTAAGTATAAGGATACATTTTAGTACTCGGATAAAAATCCTTTGCTGTCAGTGACTGCCTGAAGTCTAGAACCCATGGACGTCAGCAAAGACTGCTTCCTCCCTCGAGATGTTCAGTTGCTGCTTGTTTGTGAGGCTTTTTGTCTTTAGTTTTGTCTGCAGTAACTCAAAAGCACACTCTGTTGGGCACTAACTTGGCCATTGAACAATGTCCATCCCATATCTTTGCCTGGAGAAACTCTTGAGTTGCTTTTGCAGTATGCTTTGGGTCATTATCTATTTGCAATGTGAAGCATCATCCAATGCAGCATTTGTCTGAATCTGAGCAGAAACCTGTACACATCCACAGAATTCGTCCTCCTGCTTCTATCAGCAGTCACACGAACACTGAACACCAGCACCAATTACATTGCCTCCACAGCGTTTGAGAAATAATGTCTCTCTCCTTCGCTATACTTTTCTCTTCCCATCATTCTGATCCAACTTCGTCTTGGCTTCTTTTGTTAAAGATGAAATGCACGATGGCTCTTCAGCATGTCATTGGTGGCTTATTTTCAACCTAAAGTTGTGAGGTCAATGTGTAGTAACTGCTCCAATACAGTTCTCTTCATCTTGTTCATCAATACTGTTGAAAGTATTTAGTTGATCCAAAATGCTGCCACGAGAGTACTGACAGGGACAAGAAACAGAGAGCATATTTCTCCTATACCGGCTTCTCTTCATTGGCTCCCTGTTAAATCCATAATCTAATTAAAAACCCTTCCCATCACATAAAAGGCTTCGTATAATCAGGCCCCATCTTATTTTAATGACCTCATAGTGCTGTATCACCACAGCAGAGCACTTTGCTCTCAGGCTGCAGACTTACTTGTGGTTCCTAGAGTATTAACAGTAGAATGGGAGGCAGAACCTTCAGCTTCCAGGCCCCTCGCTCTCAACTCTTTTCACTCTCCATGTGTTTATACACCTCTCCGCATTTAATTATGAGTTATTATTAATCTCTGGCTGTCTTCCACAGCGTGTCTTCCTCTCTTCACCCCCAAGCGGTTGCATCACGAGGCTGCCCCTTCCTGAGCCTGGTTCTGCCAGAGGTTTCTTCCTGTTAAAAGGGAGTTTTTCCTTCCCACCTTTGCCAAAGCGCTTGCTCACAGGGCGTTGTCTGGTTGTTAGTGTTTCCCTGTATTATTATAGGGTTTTTACCTCACAATATAAAGCACCTTGAGGTAACGGTTGTTGTGATTTGATACTTTATAAATAAAATTGAATTGAATACTGCTGAGTGAGTGCATACATCGGCGTAACTTTGTGCTGAACATTGAGGGAGTCAAGATCTCTGTCTAAATAAATAAATAAATCTGGGTAAATTCCCAGATGATTAAACATGCAACTATTTTGCTGGTAATAACTGAAATGAATAAAGAAAATCAACAGCCTATTTATGCGAGATAATTCATAATTTTATCGGGGGGTTATATTGGTTGGATCTGATTATTGGGGGGGGTCATAACCCCCCTGGAAATTAGTGGCTTTTCTGCAGTTCCCCCATTTTCATGTCACCTACAGATCCTTGCTGTATTTGTCAGACACTGGAGTCAGCTGTAAATATAGTACAGTGAATATTATTGCCCTGAAATGTGGTTAAATAAACACAAAAGACGGAAAGTACAACTACCACAAACTATAAATTATATTTTGATGAAGCAGTATCTTTTACTGGTTAAAAATCAGTGCCGTGGATAGGCATCCAGAAGTCTGAGATACTCACACTGGAGTAAAAAACTGTTTTACTGTTAAATTGTTAAATTTGCGGATATTGTTGCACATCCCATCACAAACAAACAAACAAAAACTGAATAGTTGCTACACGTGTAACAATTTAACCGCTGTTGAAAGCGCTTTTGTTCTGACAAATCTGTGCGTCAATGCGCCACTAGAGGGAGCTGATTGTACCAAACAAAAGAGACGCTAACAGAGGCCTGTGGAGTATTTACTGTTGCACAACTGAACGATTATGGCAAAATAACCTTCTACTGTGTTTATAAGCAAGCAAGGATTTTCAATCTTTGGTGTTGTGCAGCTCTGTGTCCACCCAATAAAAATCAAACTGACAATACTAACGCCACAACTAAATATAAGATAACAAATTTAAGTTAAATAGATACTGTGAACCGAATGTATATAGTCAGACAGCGCAAGAGCTGCCTGTAGATGCAGAATTAAACAATCAAGTTACAAATACTGGCTTTTACATGAGTCCGTGAACGCAGCATCAGCTACAGTGTGGTGGTGGGACGGGCTTGAAGCGGAAGGTCAACACAATCATGGCGTGGAGAGGATACGCGATAAAATGGGCCAAAACAGAGTTCGTGAGATCCCAGAACACCACTCCACGAAGCTCCAGGTGAGCAAACACAAGGTCGCTGTGGTCGCAGCGTCTGTCTGCACAGGCGTAACACTGACAGGATGTGTGTGTTTACTTCTCCACCAGCCACAGCCCGTGCTTACCTAACTGTTCCGACTGTCATTGCAGGGAGATCCACAAAGCTGAAGACAGCTCCATGTTTCATTTGCTTACAGCCGTAACCTGCGATATCGAAGCGTATACGAGTTACTGTAGTCTTTCTGTTTTTCAGTAAACGAACTGAGTGCCTCAAACAGCATGTCGTGCTTTTATTATTGATACTGATACTAACAATAAGTAGTTATGGAGCCACTGTGAGGCATGCTACCCGTGTAGGTTTATACATTGTGGGTGCTTGAATTGTTCTCAGTATTATTAGCTTTTATTACGGATGCATTAATTTTTTTGTAACTCTACAACCAGAAGTAGCTGTAATTTTACAACAACAACAAAAAAGGAAAATTAGTTTTCGAAGCAGGACTTTTATGTTCTTCCCCTAAACTGAACATTGATTTTATACATTTTTGTGTATATTTCAACAACTGCCTGCTTTAAAAGCTGCCTCCTTCTCTTGGCAGTCTTAACCCCTACAACCAGCAGAGGTGTGGATTTCGTCGGGAGGCCAAAAGGCCAGACATAAAGAAAAAAAATGCCACGCAGGAAACAAACACCTCAGCCACTGAGGCTGGCACCCCGGTGCCCCAGCCACCTCCTAAAGTCCCCAGGCCGACACTTTTCACACCGCTGATGTTCACAGTAGGGGTAGGTCCCCCCCAGTTTTCTACTGCTGATGTGTAGTGATGAAATGGATGCATGGTACACTGATGTTTGGGACAGTAGAGTGCTTCTGGATGTTTTCTGACTCCATTTCAGTTTACAGGCTGCTCCTTTGGTGCGGCGGCCATTCTCCAATATGAGAGTCTAAAGTCAAGACTTCAGACTGCAAAAGATGAAGAGAAGTCAGAAAAAGGCATGCAGGTGAGCACTTTGATGATCCACATTATTGTACATCTCCTCTGCTTGCAGATTGCATTACTGGTTTGATTTACAAGCTGCTCACAGAGACTCTGTGAACCTTCCACATGTTCCCAGGGCACCCAGGACATGGCATACTGGCACGACTGGTGGAACCAGCTGTCCAGCTTCCAGCGACAGCTCATTCTCCTGGTGTCCATGGTGGATGACTTCTGGAACAGCCTCACAGAGGGACAGAAGACTGTCACTGGTATTATTTTACACAGTCAACATCTTTGCAGTGTGTGTGCGGGGGTGGGTTTTGATTATTGATTTTCCAATTTAAAATCGATTCTAGCTTGAATAGCGTGATATCGATTCATTAAAATCCTGAATCGATTTTTAAATATAAATGTATTTTGGCCGAAACGCCAGAATCTCAGGATTAATCTCACAAAATTTTGACAACCACCAAACAGCTAAAACAGCAAATGAGAGCGGGTGCACGGATTCTGCACAAAGACGTAAACAGAGCGCGGACCCGACGCTTTCTCGCCCGACAGGACGTACATGGACATTGCGCTAGATTCTGAAGCTGCAGGTTTTGTGTCTCTCCAACCAAAGTTGATTGAACCAGCCGCAAAAAGAAGATCCAAACTACGCTTCACATAAACATCACCCTTCATTCCCTCTTACTTGCTGTTTTGCCTCCACCACAATAAAATCACACTTCATGCACAGCTCTCTCTCTCTCTCTCAGTGTACTTCAAGAACAGTTTCCCAATCACTTGCTTATTACCTACCAGTCTACCATTGTATACAGTGCTGTCAGCCGCTGTGTTTTTTCTTTCTTACTTAAATGACTTCAGACAAGAAAGCCGCATTTTTGCTGTTCAATACTGAAGAAATGTACACTTTTTAAATTATGCAAAATTGCAAAATGCTTAACTGTATCTCTAATAGAAACCTCTGTAACTTTGCTCTGCTTCACTTCAGCAGCATCAGGTAATGTTCATGTTGATTCATGGTTTTCTTCAGTTTTTGTTCTACTGCAGAATATTTTTAAAGTTATCTGCTATAAAAAGCGAGGCCAGGAAAATCGCCTTCATGTTTTTCTGTGTTTTATCCTCTGTTACTTTGACACAAAGGCATCTGCTGTGATGCTCACACCTTTGATAAAGTCTCACAAGTGTAAGGTTTCTTTTTATAGATATAAAATATGGATATGTACTGATTAGTGATCAGAATTATAATATTTCTGACTGTCTGAGGCAAAATTTCCCCGATTCAAATCGAATGGAATCGAATTGATTCGGGACCTTGTGAATGGGAATCGAAACGATTATAGAAATCAGTGACGATACATAAACGCTATGTGTCTGGGTTTTTTTTATTTTTTTATTTATCACTTTGCATTTCTTCATAGTTGGCACCTTTATTTATTATTTTTTTTCTAGGTATTATCGCACTAAATGCCGCGGTCCTCTGCTGTTGGCGGATCCCTTCAATGCAGAGAAGTATGCTTAAGTACTTCACATCCAACCCAGCTTCCAGTGAGTTCACCTGTGCTACACGATCATGTCCTCTTTGTGTTTGCAGTGTGTGCATTTTTTCCCCCTCTCCTCCTCCTCTTCCAGAAACACGCTGCCTTCCCATGGCCCTGTCCTCCTTCAGTCACTACTCCATCATCCACATGGTGGCCAACATGTATGTCCTATGGATATTCTCCTCAGGGATCGTCTCTCTTTTGGGGAAAGAGCAATTTCTTGCAGTTTACCTGTCTGCTGGTGAGTCAAATAAAGCACACAACTGGAGTCTGATAACATTTATTAAATCTAAACACAATACTTGAATATTTTTAACATTAGTGTTTAATCCAGGGTGGATAGTTTAATGATCTCTTTGCTTCATGTTTGACTGAAACTCACTGTTATTCCATCCATCATTTATTACAGCACCAAAACCTTATTTTAATTTTGGGACACTCAAACTTTAGGGCCTTTCAGTATTATGCATGGTTGATTATTGAGAATATAGGTAACAGGAAGTAAGAAAGGCTACCAAATGTTTGATTTTCAGCTGTATGTGCTTTCAGGTGTGGTTTCCACTATGGTCAGTTACACATGTAAAGCAGCCACCGGGCGTCTCTATCCATCATTAGGGGCGGTAAGATATTTGCTAAAATCCATTTTAAAGCTCAACTCAAATGAAGGACGGCTGTGATAGTAACTGTTTTTGATCTACAGTCCGGCGCCGTCATGGCAGTGCTCGCTGCTATCTGCTCTAAGATGCCAGAGGCCAAGCTTGGCATAATCTTCCTTCCCATGGTCACTTTCACAGCAGGAACAGTAAGTGCACACTTCATATTTCCTACATACACTCACTGGACACTTTATTAAGTACACCTTACAAGTGCTCGATTGGAATCCATATTGCCTTCAGAAATGCCTGTTTTTCATGGCACTGATTCAACAAGGTGACTACAGTCAGCTCATTGTCATGTTCAAGAAACTAGTTCGAGATGATCTGACCTTTGTGACATGGTGTGTTATCCCGCTGGAAGCAGCCATCAGAAGACCTGCACACTGTAGTCATAAACATATGAACATGGTCAGCAGCAATACCCAGGCAGGCTGTTGTGTCTAAATGATGTTGTTTTTCCAATCTTTGATTGTCCCATGGGAATTGTAGCCTTAGTTCTTAGTTGACAGGAGTGGCACCCACTGTGGGGTTCTGTTGCTGTGGCCCATCTTCTTTAAGGTTGGACATGTGCATTCAGAGATGCTCTTCTGTCTACTTCGGATATAACGAGTGGTTGCTTGAGTTGCTTTTGTCTTCCTTCCCGTTGTTGCTGCAGGAAGAGATGCGAGTGTGCATGGACCAAATAAAAAGGTACATGTATGAGTGACTGTGGAAGTATGCATGTCAGCGCACTGAATGCAGCTTTGCCTTTGTTTATGTTTAGGCTCTGAAAGCGCTAGTTGCCATTGATACAGCAGGACTTCTGTTGGGATGGCGGCTGTTTGACCATGCAGCTCACCTTGGCGGAGCCCTCTTTGGAGTGTGAGTCAGGTCTTATTTTTACCTTTTCCTCAAAGTCTGTCCATGTTAACAATATGAAATACAATTTCAAGGTTTATGAAACTGTCTTAATCCCAAATCTGATTACTTACTTTTTCTGGAGGGTTTAACTGTTTAGACTTACATAAGCAGACAGATTTTGCCCAGTTTTTTTTAATATCCTGCTCTCATAACATGGCCCAAGTGTGAAAATTGTGGTCATGTGACAGCTGCAGATGTAGTCACAAACAGCTTAAAGCCCGTGGAACATATCCAATATTGTTAAAATGTTGTTTTGAAGGCTTTGTGCTTTTGAACTCAGTCATGAAAAAAAAGAATCCAATGATTCTGCACTGCTTTGATCAGTCTAAATCCTTTCATGTCTTAATGTGGCCTAATGGGAGCATCTTGTTCTGCTTTCTCCACATTTTACCGTGCCATGCATCTCTTCATACAGGTGGTATGTGGCATATGGTCATAAACTCATCTGGAGGAAGAGGGAGCCCCTTGTGAAGTTGTGGCATGACATTCGTTCACCAGGCAGCCGAGGTTCCAGGCCTGGACGTGGACCCGGGGGTGGTGGACCAACATCATAAGTCCCTGAAATTCTTTGTGAAAGAACTGGAACCCATTCAAAAGAATATGCAAGGACACTTTTATCCAATGACATGGAGTGGACTGTTATTAGTAAATAAATCTAGTTTTCACATCCAAAGTTAGTAAAGAGCATTTGCTGATTTAATGCCTTGCAAACTTGAAATTTAAAAGCAGGTGAAACTTCATATCTAGCGTTGCAGTCGAGATGTTTACTTTGTAGACTTTAAGCACCTGTTATGCTACCGGTAATCTGTAACTCTGCTACCTCATTTAGCCATTTTCCACCAATGCTTTGCCAAATCTCAAACTGGTTCTACACATTTACGCCAACAAAGAATGGTGGCACCACAAAAATCAGTGATTTCAGAAGCAATGGGAATATTACTGCAAGTAATTTACCACTAATTTCCAAATGTAGCATTCAGATTCGGCCCTGTGTGACACTAACGTCTGATATAGTATTCAAAATTTCAGTTCTGACACTTGCCAAAATATGGCCATCGACCAGCACCAGACTAGGCACATTACTGGTGGAAAACAGGTGTTAGTAATCCAAAGAAAAACCTTAATGGCCATGTTTTTGTGTTCATGTTGTTCTGGAACACTGCATTAGCCACTAGACAAAAGAACAAAAATTCCACATTAGAAAACAAAGAATTTTATTGTCTCATCCTTTTCCTCTGTTAACGCTCTCATTCAAACTATTAGCATATCCAATGATTTAGGATAAATGGGCACTCCCACGTATACCTACTAATGTAACTAATTCATTTGGTAACAAATCTTTATCAGTGCCCCCTATTACAGTAAAAAGTTTCCAAGTCACTTTTTTTTTTTTTAAACCCTGCAGTTTAACTATATTGGTTAGAAATATTTTCCTCACAGCAGGGTAATATGTTTAAAATTAAAGCTGTGACAAAACTATTCATGACAATATAAGTTTTATTGGAAGCATTTGATTTATAGTTGGCACATATGAGAATTTGGAACAAAGATACCACGACTCATGGTGCCAAAACACACTTAGTTAATTCTTCAGATGCCGACATCTCCAGATTACTACCTGAACTCATACAGTGGGGAAAGTATTTCACCCCCTGCTGAATTTGATGGGTTTTTTTTTTCCTGGTTGATATTCTGTCTTTCTCCATTAAAATACCACTGCCATAGAAAATTAGAAATGTTTCATTTCTTTGAGTGAGCAAATTTACAATAAATTATTTAATAAATAATTATTATTTTCACCATTATAATAATGATTTCATGCTCTGAGAAAACATTTTATTTATCAATCACATTCCTGTCCTGGGCATAAAGAGTCACTGTTAAATGCTTTTCACAATTCCTTTTTATTCAGATACGTTGGTGGAAAGTTTTTTGGGTTAAATACAACTACAGCATACCTACATCTTAAGACAGTCTAAATCTGTTACTGATAAAGTTAAGTTAAGATGTCAAAATAGATCAAAGATTGACACTTTTTTGGCTTCAAGGTAACTTTAAGGCAGTTCCTGGTAAACAGTACAGATTAGTTTATCAAATATGGATGTCTCATCAGACAAGGGCATGTGCAGCAAATTCTTCTAACAATCCTCGCTGTCCAAAAATCAGGCGTCCATCACTGCCGGGCTGTGAATGAGAAAACTGCTCAGAATCCTAAAACTCAAAAGAGTAGGCTAAAAATCAAAGAGGTACAATGGGATTAAAGTTTTCATTTTTTAGTTTCCAGGCACAGCACACACACACACAAAAAGACTGTTAGATAATTCAAACTTATCCTCCACCCTGTCACATGATGTTAATCAAACAGACTTACCAGAACGCTATATCTCGTCTACTTTTTATCCAGAGCAATCAGTAATACAGCACTTCCTCAGCCCCTGCTTTTGTGGTTTGCATAACTGGGGAAGCCAAACTGGGAGACCATCAGGTTGGAGAAGGAAAGAGGCATAAAGCCATAGATCTGTGTCAACCTGTTCAGGCAGTAGGACCTCTGGAGAAGGTGTTCGGGACGATGCCACATCCCCTGGTATCCACTGCTGGCCTCCTTTTCTAGGTTGCGGAGGTCCACGGGTTTGATAAAGACCCCAGAGGCTCTGTTCATTTTGCCCAACTTTGATTGTTTTCTTAAATACAGAGCTACAGCAAAGTTCATGGCAATATCGTCACAGTTCTGCGTTTCATCCACTAAAGCATGCACTGCTTGAGGCTGGTCCTGAAAGAGCTGCAAATAGTGGCGGTGGAAGAAGGCAGCACCAATTAACACCATGGAGTATCTGCAGGGAATGCAGGGAGATGGAAGCTTAAAAAACAAAGTACACCTAGCCAGAGGCCAGTACTATGAATCAGGATTAGTGGCGCAGCAATGCAAATTCAGGGTTAACTCTGCATTTTCAGCAATACGATGATGATTCGCTGCTGTGGAAATTTATACCTACATAATGCAGGTTGAAATAAAAACAGCTGCTGTTTAGTTGTGTCTAAGAATCTATATTTATTACTCATCATGGAAAGAAGACTTTAGAGACTCATGAAAAACATTAGACCCTCTTACTATCTGCTCAGAGTGGCTCGAGGGTTTTACAGCAATGTTAACACCATTTTCCAGAAAGCTAAGTGGAGAGAATTTATCTAAATTTCAGGAGTGGTACCACACCTCCATACACATCCCTTCCAGTAATCCATCAATATATGACCCTCCCGAGCAGTACAAGCTGTTCATTCTCATCTTTGTGCCCCACCCTCCCTTCCCTTTTAAACAATTCATTCACTTCTCATTAGTACATGAGGATCTTCCCAGCCTGGGAGCCATCGCCAATCCCCCCTGAGGGGAGGGGGGATTGGCCAAACTGCAGCCTCAATTCATCCTCAAGCCATCTGCCATTATTTACTAGGAATGCTGTCAAACCTAAAATGAGAATGTGGTCCCAGCTAGTGAATTGGGCAGTAGGAAGTGACGTTTTAGCTCTTGATCTCAAATCTCACATATAACCTGTTCCACAACTGATTAGGTCTGCAGCACAAATTCTCAAGGTAAACTACCCCCTAAGAAATGAACCCTCTTCATAAACCAGGCTTTATGCCAAAGCTACCTGAATAAGCCTTGAATCTTCTCATGTTCAACTTAAAGTCAACAAGTACAAACTCACCATCTACTGACCAATCGTTTCTCTGGAAAATGGTGCCACCATTCCTGGAACACATGTCGGACATGTCCACGGACAGCTAGCGTCTAAAAGGAGCAACTTTATTTCTATTTCTAAAATGATTGTATTGTCTTCCACGCCTTTATAATGTGAATATATACTAGATATCAAATTTGCAAGCATGCTATGCCTCTCTTTAATTTCTATTTGTATATATTTTCTTAACTTAAGAAAAGCACTCAAGCTATTAAACACCACCAGCACAGTTTCAGCTGAAAAGATGAAGTTAAAATTGTTTTCTGCACATTTAAACATTGATATACCAGGTTATCCTGTGTCTTAGGGATAGCACTGCAGTACTGAGAAGTCTGTTAACTCGCACAGATGGCATTTTTGCCAGATTTTCTTCCTGGCTTCAGCTTAGGCTTTATAAATATAATAGTGCTTTTCCATTCATAAAGCCTATTTAAATCGTATACTTGTAATCTCACGCTACTGTTTTGGCAACACGTGTTGCTCTGAGCCTGTACTGTACACAGCTTAACATTGCCTGGTCTGACACAGTTTTAACTTCCTTTCTAAAATCAGGCCGCTCAGATCGGTTAGATCTGCCCACGTCTGTGATTGGTCAAAAGTTGCCTCTTTCATGTGTTCATGTGAGCATGAACACATGACAGACTGGTAAACCTAGAGTGGACCTATTAAGTTAATAACCACTTTCTTGTGACAGCTTAAAGCTGATTTAGACTTCTGCTATGGATTTTTGATGTAACCCATATGAGTGGCTGATGTTACTGCCAGCAGTCATGCTTGTCCTTGGCGCATCATTCGTTAATTACCTTGTGGTCATGTCCCAGTGTTTTATATGCTGTGCCAACAACAATACAAACAAAATTCTGGGACTTTTCTTTCCCACATGGTTCCCCACTATTTGTTGTGGCCGGTTTTTGTTCCAGAGGCAAACATATGTCCCGTCTTTGCACATTACCTCACATCCATTCCAAAAGCTTTGGCAATCTCCCTGCACTAATTTTCTGACATCTGTGAATCCTTATAGAAATGCTATGATCATTATTCTTTATACTAAGACATGATTGTTATTCTCTCACTGATATGTTTAAAATTAAACACAGAAGTATACTGATGTACACTGATGTAAAAAATAAGTGAAGCCACATAAGCAACAAACATTCTGGGTATGTCGAGCATGCTTCGTAGTACAGACCCAAATAACATGCAGGGTATGTGGACAAACCCACCCCCCAAAAAAAACCCCTAAAACAAACAACCTACATGTCACCTCCTGCTGTTTCTGGATCCTGCAGCTCAAAGCTGCCATAGCTGTACACTCCTGCTGCCGTTGAGACATGTTTCCTTGGTACAAACCCAACAATCTGGTCTGGAAATTGCTGTGGAACCCGACAGTAAAACAACTTAGGGTTTGCCGGCTAAAATCTGCAGTTAAATTTTTCAAGTTTATGATACTCATTACCTTCCAGACAGAAAAAGCAAAACTGATGTCAGGTACACTGATGAGAGTGTCATCATCCAGCATCAGAACAGCTACAGGAGCAGAACAAAAATACTACTGTTCACTGACTAAAATGTATTTAAATATAACAAATAATACATACGGTGCAAGCTGACAGATGTACTGACCATCAGTATCAATTTCAGGGAATGGTTGTAGTCTGTTGCGCATTCGGTTGCTGGTCTGCTCCTTGAAGACTACCTGGACCGGATGAGGCCCCAAGGAGCTCCACAGCTTTGCAGGTGTCTGCTCTCCAATGTTGTTCCATACTATGATAATTCTCTGAAGATGAGGTACTCCCTGGTAATGGTTTAGGAGTTTGAGCAAAACGTCTGTGCGGTTGTAAGTCTGGATGATGATGGTAAACTTCTCCTCCTCCGAGCTGTCAGCGTGGTGAACCTGTGCGGGATTCTGCTTTTGCGGAGTTGCCCTTCGTAGCACCTCCAAGACAGCAACACCTCTTTGGTCCTCAGCAGGTGGCAGCAGAGCTGTCAAGACTACACCAACCAGGAGGATTAGCAGAATTGCCCAAAACAAATAGGTTCGTCGGAGCCCAAAGCAACAACGGGGCAGCCTGCACACAGATTTGCAGTATTTATTAATATTTCCATCTCAGCTCCAGTTTAAAAGAAAAAAAATCAATATATGCAGTTATGACTGATTTCTGGTATTCTAAGCAGAAATTAGTTAATCTATGGCCTGTGATAAATGTTAGGATTATATGACATCCATAACTAAACATGCAAATCAATTAAGCCATCTTGGGTATCCGAAATGACAGCTTAGCTTGTGAAAGTAGTTGCACTGATTTTTAGCTAACTTTAACGTGATTTTAGCTCAGCGTTTGTTTTGAACACAACGGTTTAGTCGGCTCGCTTGTAACATATCTAGCCTGTTACATTTTAACATATTCTATTTTTCTTTCTAGAAAGGAGAACTCACCTCATTTTTGTTGGCACTACAAACATTCAACCCCTTTCTTTCAAACGGTCGCCATGTTGGCTGACTTTGTCCAAAGAGTGTACAAGTTAAGAGCGGTTCCAATTTAACAGCCGCCGTAACTTATGGCACTCAACAGCCACGCAGCTATTTTATTACAGAGAAAATTTCTTGTTAGATGAATATTTTTTCTTACTCGTTATAAATACATTTTCTACGTTACAACCTCGTAAATATTTTCACTCGCGTTTTTTGGCTTTCTGATGAACAGTCGCCATGTTTGTTCAGCGAATGGACTTGATTTTTAATTCAGGGGCATATCTTCGCCTCTACAAATATGTTAATAATAGTTGGTCGAAAGAGAAGGGGAGAATCAACTAAATGAAAATTTTAAAAAACCAGTCTCGCCTAGTGGTTACAACAAAGGTAAGTTAATCTAATTCATTGTTAATGAAAAAAGAGTGTATTAATAGTATTCTTTTTTGGAGAATAACATATGTTAACGAGGAATGGCTTTCCTCGTTAAAGCAAGAAAAGTTAACAACAAAACAAAAACGTTTTTCCAGATTGCTCAACTCTGGTGAAGTGAACATGTCGTTGGCGTCGGTCCTGAACTGTCCTACAGTACCACTTTCCAATGGTCTGCAGATCCCCGTGCTTGGTTTGGGTGTGTTTTACTCTGGCAGTCATTGTTTTTAAATCAGCTAGCACAAACCTTTTGTAATGAAGCCTCAATCCTAGGACACAATGATTGATAACTGAATCGGTTGGTTTAAAAACTTTTAAGTAATGCAATAGGGAAGTAAAGATACTACTAATAAATAGTTGCGTACACAAACGGGTATTTCAGTATCCTTTAATCCAGGATATGTGAATATTTTGTATGTATTTATACCTTTTATGAATACACTGTATATTTATGTCAGCGCTAATACGCCGTCAAGTTTGAATTAAACTACATAACACTATAATTAAAATGTCTTCTACACTGTAAAATCTAATTAGTTCCCAGAACTCAAAAAAATTGAAGAAGCTCATTGCCTCAAAAAAACTGAGTAAAGCTTAGCTAAAAATGACTAAATTAGAACAACTTATTTATTTTGAGTACTCTGTACAAGCTCATTTGTTCCCAGAACTCAAGAAAATTGGATCAAGTTTACGTAAGATGACCAAGTTAGGGCAACTTACTCATTTTGAGTACACTGTACAGTCTTGTTAGTTCCCAGAACTCAAAAAAATTAAGGAAACTCAGTGCCTCAAAAAAACTAAGTAAAGCTTACTTAAGATGACTGTTAGGACAACTTATACAGTGCAAGTCTGCAGTATTAAGAATAACTTGATATTTCTGACTGTACAATACTAATTGTTTACCTACTGACAAACATTTCAAGTTCAACTAAATGAAAAAACAATTTGTGGTAACCTGAATATGATTAAAAATAATTAACAACACTTTTTGTAATGATGTTAAAATCAGCCCATTTTATTTTCAAACACAACAAAGTATAACAGCCAACATACTGGACACTGTTCTGCTGAACAACAAACAATTATATTGCCATCACTGTTATAATCTTACAATGAAACAAAGTCTCAATTATTCTGAAAATAAGTTTAGGCCTACCACAAGTTTGTTTTGTACTTACATTACTTAAATAATCAAAATAAAATATTTATTGTTCTGTCACAAGTGCAGTCTCTAATTTAAACAACACATTTGTTTTGCATTCCAACACATGAGCTGGAATGTTGTATTATTTTAAGGATGGCTTGTTTCCAGTCCAGGCATTACTGCCTGAATGACTATCATGGATCGAGGTGATCTAAATGTAGGTGCAGAAGAAAGTCTTTAACTTCCCATAAGTACAGTGGCAGTGGATGTGGGTTGGAGATGCAATGAGCTTGAATCTTCAGGCGACCATCTTCACTGACCACACCATGTGTGACGGAGGACTCATCTCTCCTGTTGTCCTGCAAGCAAACAATCATATTTTTTGGAACATGAACTTAATTGCTTTCTTAAAACATTTTTTCTGCATTTGGTATAAACAGACTCAAATTTAGACAATCTCAGGCCCCCTCCCCACCGGAGAGGTGACATTCAATGTCCCAATTGTCAGTCTGGATAGCCGTGACCACCACCAAACACACAATAATGTCATGAAAGCATCATTTTAAAAAGGGCTATGCAAACATGGCCAATAACTTTCATTCTAATGATGTGCAAAATGATTTGGGCACAAAACAAATTTTGTTGTTTGAAAACTTGCAGACTTCACTATATACAGTGTAGACCCTCTGAACTAAGTTTGGGGGATGTGATCCGACAAATGCTATCCTCCTTTTCCCCAGACTACCGTTTCTGGGTCACAAAACAACCTTTTTTATTTTCAGGCGAGAATGTAGCTGTGTAATGCTCAAATATCTACTTAATTTATCAAAATATCACATATTTGTAAAAGTGCTTTCACGTTTTTGGAGAGCTCTGTTATCCACTAGCGCAATAGCTGACCGGGAGGTCAAGGCTTGATAGAGTCTGTGAGCACAGCTAACTCCTGGCTTATTGTTTTCAACCCCCTGCGGTCTTTTGCAACTCAGGTTAAACATGATATATATAATTAGTTAGTTAGTTATGGCTATGGATTGAAAATACCCCCCACACCACACCCCACACCACCCCTAACGGCTGCTCCTCCCGAAGAATTTTGTCTGGGCTCTTATCTCACTTTTTTATTTCAAACAATCAACAGAAAATTTCACCGACATAGTTTTATGTAAGGTTTTTAAGGCTGTGGTGTTAATTTTTAAGTAACATGAGCCCAGCCGCAGCAGCAACGCTAGCTAACACTAACTAGCTAGCAAGATTATAAACCTGGTGCTAAACTAAGAGCAGCCACAAAATCAGTTTGAATAAGAGTAAACATTTACTCACCAAGTCAGTGTATCAGGTAAAGATTCACAGCAATGACAATAATCTCTTGAGCTGAGGCTTCTCCAGGTTTACTCAACATATTGCATAACAAATGCTGGCACCATGAACATGCGGACTGATCGTAGAGGGAGGAGGACGGTAGTCACGTGGCATTTTCAAAACACATCTTTCATCCTTCCGCACTGAGAAGCAAAACTTCCAGCTTATTAAGGCTATGTCCACACGTACCCGGGTATTTTTGAAAACGCAGATTTTTCTATGCGTTTGCACCTTTCGTCCACACGTAAACGGCGTTTTTGGTCACTGAAAACGGAGATTTTTAAAAACTCCGGCCAGGGTGGATATTTTTGAAAACTCCGTTTTTGCATTTAGTGTGGACAAGAAAAACGAAGAAAACGGAGAAAACGCAGCGTCAAAGGTGTGCGCATTTTTTGACTTCACACTGTGCGCCACGTTATTGTTTTGGTGAAATGAATTTCTACAATACTATTACTGTTAATTGTACTCTCTGCAGTGTTTAAATGCTTACATATACACACACATTTACTGTCCCTCCACACATACAACTTGGTTCTGCTTCTATGCCCCAGCTTTGTTTACTTTTTCCCACCGAAGCTTCTAGACTTCTGATTGGCCAACATTTCTGCACGGTTAGGAATATATCGCCACCTGTTGCTTTGGCATGTTCCTAGCAGCGTTTTCCTTCATTTCTGCCTTTACGTGTGGACGGGATTATTTTTTAAAACGAAAACGGAAAATCTCCGTTTTCAAAAATACCCCTGTACGTGTGGACGTAGCCTTAGTTTTTCTAAGTAAAGACAACTCAAATAAATTGAGTTTATCAACATTTTTGCATAAAAAGTACTTGTAACTTATTTAAATTGAGTTCTAATAACAAATTGATAAAAATTGAGTTAAGCCTATTTAATATTTTTAATTAAACACAATATTACATTTTACAGTGTAGTGTATTTTACTTTATATAGCAACCATTTGCTCATAGTACACTTCACTCTTGTATAGTATTTTGTCTTTTTGATTTGAACACTATTTTATCTTATTTATTTTTCTATTTTCATGTTTCTAATATGTCTCTAATTCACCTTTTCTTTCTGACCTTTGTGCTGCTGTAACATGTGAATTTCCCCAGTGTGGGAACTATAAAGTCTATATTATAATAATTACCATTGTTGTTGTTTTTTAATGTATAAATGTTGTGTGTTTTTCTCTTTGCCAGGCACATCACATAATGGTGGTTACTCCCAAGATGCAGTTATGTATGCCCTCACTGAATGTGGCATCTGCCACATTGACACAGCAAAGCGTTATGGCTGCGAGGCCGAATTGGGCAAAGCTGTCAGAGAAAGTGGGCTTCCACGAAGTGATCTGTGGCTCACGAATAAACTGTGGCCCAGCGACTACGGATATACAGCTGCAAAAAAGGCCTGTCTGGACTCCTGCTTGGAAATGGGGGTCAAGTATTTTGGTATGCCGTCTGATTGATAAAGTTAAAAACAGTTAACAGTTAAATGGTTTCCTGGGATGTCACTGCAGAACAAACGTCTTGAATAAACCTGTGATGGCTCATGATATAGTTTAATTAATCTTTGTTCACCAACACCGAATGCAGTTTGCTGTCTTTTGTTACATCATGACTTCTAACCCCTGTTGTTTTTAAAGATCTGTACCTGATGCACTGGCCAGAGTCAAAGACACCTGGTGGTTCCAACAGGGAGATGAGAGCTGAGACCTGGAGAGCTTTGGAAGAACTATATAAGGAAGGTAAATGCTAAATGCATGGTATTAACTTAGAGACAAGGGATTAGCTTCATGGATGACAGCAGATTATCAGAATTACCATACAATGCAATTATTTCTTTATACTATCTTAATTTTATCCTCATGAAATATGTTCATAATTTCATTAAAAGACTAGCTTCAGTTTTACAGCTGGATAATCACTGAAGTAGTGATGATAATACATATCACTTAATAGTAGTAAAAGAGTTTATTTCACAAAGCATACATATCTCTGTTTGCTAATATAGGTGTGTGCCGTGCTATTGGGGTCAGCAATTTTCTGGTCCACCATCTGGAACAGCTGAAAGAAGACTGTACTGTGATACCACATGTTAACCAGGTAGTTTTATCTATTTAGCATTTATTTATGCTAGAATCTGTGCAAAGATACTCAGGTTGACTTTCTTTATGCCATAAAACTTCCTTCAGCTCATTGACTTCATTGTTTTATATGCTGTTTTAACCGATCAGGTTGAGTACCATCCTTTCCAGCAGCCAAATCACCTGATTCAGTACTGTCGTCAGGAGGGAATTGTGTTTGAAGGGTACAGTCCTCTGGCCAAGGGTCAAGTCTTCAACAATCCCACTGTTCTCCAGATAGCGGAAAAGCACAGACGCACGCCAGCTCAGATCTGCATCCGCTGGAGTATTCAGGTTGTCACGGTCATCACATGATTTTCATCCCTGGTGTGAAAATATTGTGTCTACTGAAATTCTAAATATTCTTGAATATTTTCAATTTTGTGTTTCTAAGAACGGAGTTGTGACAATACCAAAATCGACCAAAAAGAAGAGGATACAAGAAAACTGTGAAGTGAGTTTAAAGATCATTCCATACTTTCTTGAACCCTTTAAAAAGTCTACAAAATGAAAAAACAAAATAAAAGTTCATGTTGTGATCAAACATTTTTTCAAATAAAGCTTAGCTGTAGCCTAAGTTTGACAAGACAGTCAAAATCATGTCTTCATCGAAACCCAGTTACAACACCGTGCAAAGGTCTTGAGCCACCCTTAATTTCTTTATATTTTGCCTTTAAGGAGCCAGCTTTCTGAGGTGGTTTCAGAGTTTTCCTTTGGGCACTGGCTCTTTTTACACCCATTTTTAGTCCAGTCCTTGTACCTGACCATTTTCAGAGGAATAAATCATTCAAG